GCTATTGTCTATTGATACTCAGATCAACCTCAATTTGAAGGAATTGATAGTCGATAGCATGATTCCACTTGGAACCCTTCAAAGATTTTACAATGTAGAAAAGCTTATACTAAATGGGGGTTCAGACGAAGTACTATACTCATGTAAAGAAGAAGAGAAACATATTGAAATGCCAATACAGATAAAACATTTAAAGTTGGATTATCTTCATCATCTGAAGTACTTGTGGAAAGAAGACTGCAAGCTGGATCCTATTCTTCTTTTTCAAAACCTTACGCGTTTGGAAGTAACCGGTTGCCATGGAATATTGATGAACTTAATAACACCTTCAGTTGCTAGAAGTTTGCTGCAACTGAGGGAAATGACAATCAGAGAATGCGATATGGTAATAGAAGTAGTAGAAGATGACAGAGATGCAACAAAAGATGTGATTGATTTCCCCAAATTGAAGTCTTTGTCACTTATTGATTTAAAAAGTCTCGTGTGCTTCTACTCTGGGAATTACATTTTAAAATTCCAATCTTTAGAAGAATTACACGTGAGTGGATGCCCCAATATGAAGACTTTCTCCCAAGGAGCCTTGAGCGTACCAAAGTTGCATGAGGTAGGGAGAGGATTTGATGAAGAGTGGTGGGAGGGTGATCTTAATACAACCATACAACAATTGCACAAAAATGAGGTATGTATTTATTTGCTTAAGAAAAATACTTTCCTTTTAGTATTTAATAAATATAGCTAAATATAGCTGTTTAGATACCATTAGGTAAAAACATTTAAATTACATCTTTTAAAATCTGTGTAAATTTTTTTTTCCCTAAAATAGTCACTTTAAAGTGTCATAATGATAAGAAATGGTAAAATAATTAAAAAGGTCAAAAAAAGAAAGGGTAAATTTTAAAATTCACTGAAACTACAACAAATTTATTAGTTTTTTATTAATGGCTGAATTATAGAGTTCTACTAATATTTACATAAAGTTCAAGTGTGGCCCACGAGGTTTTTTTTTTTTTTTTTTTTTTTTTTCCAAATCGGCAAAGCTATTAGTATGTAAGTTTGATTACCTAAACCCCATGAGGTTTTCTTAAACTTACAAAACCCCTTAGGTAGTCTTAACAGATTCCCATCACATTTGTCAGTCTAGGGGCAAAATAGGCATAGCCTGGATAAACGTGAAAAAAAAAAAACCAAAAATCTCAGAAAGTCCCATGAACACACATTATTATAAAGAATTTAAAAAAAGGAGTACAATTTTGGGGCAAAATTTTCCATAAGGTTCAAGCACAAAAACAAAATTCAATATGTTAAGGAAATCCCTAGCAATGACCTTAAAAATAAAATCAGGACCGAAACTAACTCAAAAACTCCACAAGTGGCTAACAAAATTTATTAATTTTCATTAAGAGCTTTTATCAAACACTCAGTGGCCTTAGCTTTTGACATACAAAAACCAAATATAGATAACAAAATTAAAACATCTACCCAATTCTAAGATAGAAGCTTGTAACTAATTATATATATGTAATATGAATTAAAATAAGAAGCAAAATACCAGATAAAAAACCTTACAAAATGAGATGGTGGGATCTTTGACAAATATAAAAAAAGAGTATTGAGTGTAATAATGAGACCAATGGCAAGTATATTTACCAGATAATTGAATTATATTTTGACTTCTAAATATGCATTTCAAGTATGTATTATTGATTTTTATTACCAAATGAATTATGTTATTATATAGCTTAACTAACTAAGGCTGACCCACCAAATAACAACCAAGTATCAGCTAATATGAACAAAACTATAAACTGAAAAACAAAAATGTGTGAGGAAAGTCAATTTTAACATGATTTATATTATTTACTTTCAGCATTACTTTTATCCGAAGGCATTGACGTTAATTAAAAAGGATGTCAAGCAAATATGTCGAGGCCATATCATAGATGAACCTGAGGTTGATGAAGTGAAAGCTCTTGAGATTGTTAAAGACAAATCAACAAGCATTCCAGTTGAAATCCTTGAGATGTTTCACAAGCTTGAAAACCTTAAACTAAAAGCATGTTCATACAAAGAATTATTCTCATGTAGAAATGACGATAAACGTGCTGAGACATTCACACAGTTAAACATTCTAGAAGTCCTTCATTGTCACAATTTGACCACTCTAGTGCCATATTCTACATCATTTGAAAATTTAACAACTCTGGAAGTACGATATTGTAATGGATTGAAGAGCTTATTGACATCATCAACAACAAAAAGTCTGGTTCGACTTCAAAAGATGACAATAAAGCAATGTGAAAAGCTTACAGAAGTAGTAGCAAATGGGGGAGATGTAGAAAAAGATGTAGTTTTCAGGAAATTGAAGAGTTTGTCAGTTGATTGTTTAGAAAATCTCACAAGCTTCTGCTCTGGGAATTGCACCTTTAAATTCCTGTCTTTGAACAAATTAATTGTGCATAATTGCCCTAAGATGGAGACTTTCTCTGGAGGAGTTTTAAGCGCACCAAAGTTGCAGAAAGTAAGAAGATACGAGTATGATCTTTCTGGGTGTTGGTATTATGATCTCAATACAACCATAAAACAATTACAAAAAATGGTACGTAACTACTTACTTAGTCAAATTTTTCTTTTGATTTGGTTACCTTCACATCTAACCGCTAGAATTTTAATTGTGTTAACTAAAATAACGGTTGTAGACTGAATACTTGTCAATCCCAATGGCCTCATCTTTAATTTGTTTCTTTAACGAAAATAATGGCTATGTTTGTTTCATTTTTCCCAATTCAATCCTATTCAATCCTACTCAAAATACATATTTGTTTCAATATTCTTAAAATCCAATCCTATTCAATTTAATTTAAAATATTTAGATTTTTTTAACCCATTAGGTTTGTTAATTTAACTAAACACCCATAACAATAAAAGTTTATAAATTGACAAAAACACCCCCACACACTCACATATTCCCAGTAGCAGGCCACCATCGCTGGAAGGTGGCAGGAATTTGTCGGAATGACGTATGACTGGCTAAATCCGACAGGTTGTGCATCGATCTGGCCTTTTTCGGCCAAAGATCTGGCTGTTGACGACCAAATCTAGCCAAATCTGGTTGTCAACAAATGGCCATATCTAGGGTTGTAGATTTGGCCTTTTTCGGCAAGATCCACCATGGATTTGGTCGAAAAAGGCCAGATTAGTGCACGACCGGTCAGATCCAGCCAATCGTGCGCCATTCCCACGACTTTCGACGACATCCGACTGCCCTCCGGTGTTGGTGGCCGACTGTTGGTATTTAATGGGTGGGTGAGAGTATTTTTGTTAATTTTTAATGTTTTATTGTGGAGGGTGTTTAGCTAAATTAATAAATGTAGGGGATTAAAAAATAATCTAAATATTTTCAGAAAATGTTCTCCAAAAATTTACCAAACACTTTTTCAAATTCAAATCATATTCTTGTAATAACAACTCAACTCAACTCAACTTTTTCAAAAATACTACTCTAAATACTCTACCGAACACAGCCAATGATCTTAAGACGTATTTAATTAGTTGAATACTAAAATTGATATATGATGGTAAGATGGAGGGTGTAGCCTTACCATAAAACGTCTTGATGAAAGATATCTTTAATTGATCCGACAAACATTTTCTGCTTTTACTTTTAATATGTTGTGCTCTATGTAGTCTGTGTTTTCATCTTCATTAGTTGTTCTGCTTTTATCTTTCCTTCTTAATTTATATACGTTGAAAGAATATTATTGAAATAAGAATTTTGAATACAGGTCATTTTCCCCGATATGAAGGGCTTAGAACTGATATCATTGAAGGACATCCAACTTTCGATGTCAATGTCTTCCTCATATCGTAATATAACACACTTGATTTTGGAGGGTTTTGAGAATCGGAAATATGTATTTCCATCCTCTCTAGTAAAAAGCTTTGAACAACTTCAGCAACTTGAAATAATTGATTGTGCGGCTTTAAAGGAGATTGTTACGATGGATGGAGTAGAAACAACTTCTACGTTTGTCTTTCTTCGAGTAACCACTTTAAAACTTGAATGGTTACCAAAACTTACATCTTTCTATCCTGGAAAACATATATCGGAGTGGCCGGTTCTAAGAATTTTGAAGGTGTATGATTGTAAAAAAGTGAAGACTTTCACTTCAGAACATCTGAGCTTCCATGAGGACAGTGAAGAAGCCCACTCTCTCTTGTTAGTGGAAAAGGTATGAGTTTCTTTATGCTTTCTTTAATGAACTAGAAAATTGAAAACATCATTATAATACATAAATTAGATCTCTTTGATTATATGACTAATTAATATATCTTTTTTCTTTGAAAACTAAATTGGTCAAGAGTTAATTAATGAGATAGGTTGCATTGAAAAATTTGTTATCATAGTTAAATAAGAAAAAGAAAATAAGAATTCAAAATTTAACATGTAATTCAAATATAAATTTTTATTTTCAAAAATTATAAATTATACTTGATTAATTGTTTTAAAAGGTACAATTTTGGATCCAATGTTAAAATTACTCCAAAAATCTCATTGGAAGATCAAAAATTCATACATCAGTTTGTCTTCGACCTTCGTTTCTTGACCCATCAATTCAAAAAAAAAAAATTCTCCTATATTTTTAAAAATAGAAAAAAATTACTGGATGTTGGGTGAAATCATTAAAAGCTATTTAAACTTTAACTTGATTTTATCTGATTAATTTGTAGATCAATCCCAATTTGGAGGAATTGAGAGTGAACGAAATAGACAGCTTCATGACATGGCATGACCCATTTTCAAAAAACTTCTTTTGCAAACTTAAACGTCTTGAGATCACATTCAATAAATCAACAAGTCTACCAGTTGAAATCCTTCAGAGATTTGAGAATCTAGAAAGGCTCAAACTACATGTGATTCAAAGCAAAAATATATTCTTATGTGGAGAGGATGAGAAAGACATCAAGATGCCCACTCACATAAAAGGTTTAGAGCTAGATCGTTGTAAGGAATTGGAGTACCTATGGAAACAAGACTCCAAAGTTGCCTCTCTTCTTCAAAATCTTGAAGTTCTTGAAATTTACTGGTGTTGGAAATTGATCAATGTGGGACCATCATTAGCATCTTTCCAAAATCTTAAAGTTCTTACTATAGCGAATTGTAGCAGATTGGTAAACTTAATAACATCTTTCATAGCAAAAAGTCTGGTGCAATTGACAGAAATGGAAATACGAGAATGTGATATGCTGATCGAAATAGTAGAAAATGATCAAGATGGAGCAAAAGATGAAATTACTTTCAACAAATTGAAGTGGTTGTCACTTGAAAAATTACCAAGTCTAACATGCTTTTGCACTGGGAAATGCACTTTCAAATTCCAAACATTGGAAGAGTTAATTGTGAAAGATTGTCCCAATATGAAGACTTTTTGTGAAGGAGTCTTAAGCACACCAAGATTACAAAAGGTATGGGAAGACAAGTGCTTGAATATTGGAAGTTGTTCAGAGGGTGAGCTTAATACAATCCTACAACAATTACACAGAAGCTTGGTACGTCCTCATTTATTAATTTATTTTTGGTTTTTTATGTAATTGTTGTTGCAAGATATATAATTGAGTTGGCTCATGGAAATACTTTAGGCGAAATTCAAATTAGAATTTTTATATTTAAGAAAAAATTTAAATAAGAAAAAAAGTCAAATTCAAGTTTCCATATATAAATACACATTGCTTACACGAAAACCTGGTACGTCCTCATTTATTTATTTATTTTTGGTTTTTTATGTAATTGTTGTTGCAAGATATATTTTTGAGTTGGCTCATGGAAATACCTTAGACGAAATTCAAATTAGAATTTTTATATTTAAGAAAAAATTTAAATAAAAAAAAGTCAAATTCAAGTTTCCATATGTAAATACACAGTGCATAAAAAATGAATACATTGGGTTTTCACTACCTAAAAATGCCCAACAATCATTCAAGATTATCTGTAAAATAATTAAGATCATTGAACATAAAAAGAATAGTAATTTTCAGATATTAATGAAATATAAATATAATAACAACAATAGCAACAACTACGATTATTATGTCGAGACAATAGATGAATGAAAATTTTGGTTATTGGGAAACAATTTAGCTTTTAGTTTGAAATTTTGAATCTTGGCAACAAAATAAGTTTTTCATAACAAATTTAAATTAACCTTTATCTAGAAACAAATGTTAGTTTTAAAATTTCATTTAATTGTAAATGCATAAAGGATAGAAGTTTAAAAAGGAAAAGATAAAGATTTAATTGGATTAAATGGAGTAAATATTCCATTACATGTCATATTAAACTGGAACCTTAATTAGTTATTAAGGGAAAACTTATTGAAAGTAATAAACATCAATGTACTTATTAAAGTTAATTAATTGGGTCTTAATTCAATGAGAAGCTTATGTCAAAAGCCTCAGTTAAAAGCCTCAGTTGCTTACCCCTGCGGCCGCCTGCATGCTAACCAAGAGGGTTAAACCCATTGACCTGAAAACCCAAAGTGTGACAACCGTTTTTTCAGTTTTCGTGCCAAATATAAATAAAATTATTACTCGTATGTTTCCTGCTAAACAGTAAACATATATAGTATTGTGTGATATCGTTTATGGGAAACATTAATTTTAACATGTTTTATATGATTGATCTTCAGGTTCATTCCAACTTTGAGATATTGAGAATAAGTGGAAAGGACATCACGCCTACTTGGCCTGACCAGTTTTCAAGCCATGACTTTGGGAGAGTGAAATCTCTTGAGTTCATTAAGGACGAATCAACAAATATTCCAACTGAAATCTTACAGAGATTTGACAATCTTGAAGAACTTACACTAAAAATGAGTTCATATCAAGAGATTTTCTCATGTGAAAAGAACGACAGGCATGCTGGGATTTTATCAAAAATACAAATTCTACAAGTGTATAGGTGTTGCAAGTTGAATACTCTAGTGCCATCTTCAGCAACTTTTAAAAACCTGACAACTTTGGAAGTATGGCATTGTGATGGATTAAGAAACTTAATTTCATTTGCAACTGCCAAAAGTTTGAAGCATCTGGAAATAATGACTATAAAACTATGTGAAATGATGACAGAGATTGTTGCAAATGAGGCTGATGTAAAGAATGATGAAATTGTTTTTAGCAAAATGCGGTTATTGTCGATTGAAGATTTCAAAAGTTTCACATGCTTTTGCTCTGGAAACTACACCTTCAAATTCCCATCTTTGAGAAGAATAGATGTGAAAGGATGCCCCAAGATGAAGACTTTTTCTGGAGGAGTCTTAAGCACACCATGTTTAGAGGAGGTATGGTATAACATGGAGTATTATGTCAATAAGAAAGAGTATGAGGAAGAGAATTGTGGCCTAAATGAAATCATACAACAATTACACAAGAAGAGTGGTACGTATTAATTTACTTGAAACTCTTATTATCCGGTATGTTCTTTCTCAATTACATAGATTTAGTTTTCTCTTCACATCTTAGTTAATATAATTTAACAATACTTCACTTCAAAACGCTTGTGGATAGAACACTACTCAATCCTCTTCATCTCATCCTTAATTTTGTCTTTATTTAATAATAGATCTTCTTATTCATCTCTGGAGGTAGTCAATAAACTCTTAACTCTCAAGTATAGAGCAACTAAAATATTATGTATTTCTCTTTTCTCAAATTTCCTTAATATATATACCACCATGATAAAACGTCATGATTAAATAAATGTTTACTTTCTTTCCTCAATTTTTCTTTTAATTGATAAATTATATCAATTTATTGTTCAAATAAATATTCTCTATAGTTTTTGCATTTACTCAATGTGTTGTAATTTGTGAATGTTACAGAATTTTTAGAGTTGTGAGAAAGATTTGGTCCAACTCTGATGCAACCTGTGGAATAAGGCCTCTATGTATGCGGTTTTTGGGGGCATTGCAGTTTATGTTCCTTGTGTTCAATACAGACGATAAGAGGGTTCTCTATTTTCATCTTCATTTTTGTTCTGTTTTTATTTTTTCTTCAATTTGAGATTTCTGCTTTGAAAGTATTTCAACACTTATGATTATTTGAGGTTGGACGTGTTGGGTGTCCAACAATTATTATTATTTTTTTTGGGTGTGTTTGTGTGGTACAATGGGCTAAGATTTGACTCTTTTGAGGCAACATATTTGCCTTTCTTGAATTGTAAATAAATGGAGAAAACAGAGTTGGTTTTTGGGCAGGAGAGACACATGCAACGCAGGGGAGGGAGAAAGTGATGAAAACAGTTTTTGCCAGCAAATATCCAACGATGAATCTTGCTTCGTTTTGGCTCAGATTTCAGAGTGTTATTCTCAACGACAAGATCTTCACATCCAAAGGTCGGTTTCTCGATAGTCCTTTTCATTGTAGTGTTTTGGTGAGATCGCCCATTTTCTCTATTTGAGTGGTTTTCTATTAAAATCTATCTTGTTGATGATGATTGGTGATAGTGATGTAGCCTCTAGTTTTATTTAGAGAAGAAATCATTGTACCCATTATCTATTACAGTGGAAGTTGATATCGGACTACGGTCCCATGGTTTTTCCCATTTGGGTTTTCCACGTAAAATTCAGTGTCTCGCTTGCAATTGATTGATCTTGTATTTTGCTGGTAGTTTGATTTAAATTATTGGACTAATTTTGTGAACCCATTTAAATCACCGAAAAGAGGGAAAACTTATTTTCTTAGATTGTTCACTGCCCCAAGTCCAGTTTTTTCCCGAGAGAATGTTGGACAATTCCTTGCCATTTGGATTCATTGCTCAAGTATGAATTATGTGCCTTCTGAAAGATACGGAGACAGACACAAAACATTGTTGAAATTTTCCTAAGGATTTGTTCTAAAAGTTTAAACTTCTTTTAGAATTAACAAGAAAATGACAATGCTTTCAGATAAATAAATAAAACCTTCATAAGTTTGTAAACTTTAGAATGAAAAGCTTCAAAGTAGACATAAATTTAGTAACATACTATTGATTCAACATATGAAGATATTATGGAATTTTTTTTTAAATAAAAAGGCACTAGAAAAGCTCGCTCTATAACATTACGAGATTAACATTTGATCAGCATGCATCTTGCAAGCCATGCCTCTTTTCACTTGCAAAATCTATAATACATCTCGTACATCGCTTCATGTTAATCACATATATGATACATGAAATGCTATTCAACTATTGAAACAAAGATTGATTTCTATAGTTTTTACTTTTCATTTATAACAACTTTCATATTCATTTTTCACTTTTGAAACGTATTTTAGATATCCAAAATTCATTGCATTTCCACTTTACACAGCAGCATAATTCATGCCTGAGACTCAGCGAAATGTTGTACTTCGATTCCCAGTTGCTGGAAAAGCAAAATGGCATTTACCTTGTGAAAGTTCTTTTGTTCCATCATCTTTTTGGCCTTGACTGCCAGCTTAACTTTTCTTTTCTTCTTATCCCCAGAATCTCGTGGGTTCTTTTGGTTTCCGTCAATCCCACTGATTCTTCCTTCGGAGCTTCTCCAAATCTGATCTGTTTCCTCGCAGCTTCAAAATCAAATGGCTTTATCAGCAAAAAGCCACTATGGTTTTCAGATTTCTCGAGCTTTCCGGTTTTCTATTTTTGTTCACTGATTGCGGGCATTCCTAGAAGCTGGTAGATAAATCAGAGAGCAACATAGGCTCATCTTGTTCATCCATTTCCAAAGCAGGCTCTGCAGAATTGTCCTCCCTGGGCACATTGGTTTTCTCCAAGTTATACATCTTCGGTATTAGATCTAGCTGATGGCTCAGCAGGAGGTTGCTCAGATTGAATTTCTAACACTTTACTGGACTCTTCGGCGACAGGTTTTGGCTGTTCACCACAGGTAAAAGATGAGAGGGAGTGAAGGTTGTTTGAAGATGTAACAGGCTCCACCTTGACCTCTTTAACTGCTTTTGGCTGTTCATCCCTGGCAGAAAATGAGTGGAATGGTAGATTCACCGAAGATCTAATCTGATCCAATTTGATCTCTTCCTTGTCCTGATTAAAATGAACAGCTTATTAATAAAAATACGATTGAATGAAATCGTATTTTACTCATGGAATGCACCAATTAAAATTGAAGATGACACCATGCTAGTCGAGTATACAAGATCGCATTTAATTGGCAACAATTAAACCCTTGGACAACCTTCCCTTATCTTATGAATTTCACATAATGATGACTCACACAACAAACAGGCCAACAAATAGACAGGTTTCATAACATTTGAAAAAATAACCATCCAAATGAAAGTCAACAATTGCAGAGCAAGCAAAAATAATGAGCACATTAAACTCACCTGTTTTTGGGTATCAAACTTTCTCTTTGGGTTACCCAGCAGTGCTCCAAAACCACGGGTAGGTTTCTTTAGAGCCTGAACAGATGCTTCAGTAACCTATAAAGAAATAAACATTTTAATCTACAGCTATCAATTTAAGAATTATAATCGATACAGAGCATTAACATTTTACAACCTTAACTGAAGAGGATATGCCAGTATTTGTCTCTCTACTTTGACATGAGTTAGTAATGCTTTCTCTGGGAAGCTCCGAGATACGAATGCCAGACTCCTTTTCTTCACCATTTGTTCCAGGATGCTCAAAAGATCCTAGTCCTTTTCTGTCAGGTTCTGTAACACTGCTTCCAAATTTCAAAGAAGGTGGTAGATGTGGAATGATGCTAGCATTGAACGCATTGCCACCACCAACACTTTCAATTGTAACATTTGATTTTTTCACATTTGTAGCGACTAAAGCTTCAGTTTCATCATTAAGTGCTAAATTTACTTCAGAGGCCTACACAATCAGAGATTTAATTTTATGTAAATAAATGGAAACAATAACAAAGAATTTAACACCAAACAGAGTTGAAACTTAGAAAGTATCAAGTTTATTCTCTGTAGCTCACAAAAACTACATCAACATGGATCACCAATTAAATATATTGAGCAACGGCTTCAAAAGCAGTAGCATTCTGCAGAGAATCCCTAATAATGCTAACAACCGAGCCAAGATTACGCTCAATATATTGATGCTTCGATTTCAATAATCGGTGTAACTTGCTAGGAGTAACAGGCATCTGTTTGGCTTTTATCACCAGAAAAAAAAAAGTGAATCAGGTCAAAACTCAACAAATGAGTGTTATAAATAACAAAGATAAAATTTAAGTTAAAGGAAAATTGGAGCAGTTTTTTACCAATTTCAAGAAGAGTTTTGTTAGGCAATATATAACCAGTCCTTTCATCCTCTGTACGGGTAACAACATCTCGCCATTGACAAAGGCCCTGCAAACCATTTAAGTTGGGACCTATAAGAAAATGAAGTAGACATGTATACACAAATATGTTATAACCATACAAGTGTTATAATAATGTGTCAATCAGTTGATCTCCCAAGTATCATCCAATCATCTAAAAAATTAAAAGTATAATCCTTGACACAACCATACAGATGACTATGGTGCCATTTGAGGCTTGTCAAAGATGTCAAAGAAAAGTCTCTGTGTTGTAGATAGTTCATTTCCTGTGGCCCAGAATCCTCATGCATATAAGATGGGTAATGTAAATAAATTAAAAAAAAAAAACAACTTACTGCAACAATGGCAAGCTGCTGAGCATTCAATTCAGTCCCCTGCAACCTATTTCAACATAGGAAAGTAAGTAGCTACTGATTAGTTTCTGTTCAAAAAAATGATAAAACAAAGAAAGAATAACAAGGAATAATTTTTAATACAAGATGTTAAATTCAAGCAGGTAGCTGTCATCTTAAACTAAGATAATAGGGAACTAACCCATATATATAGAGATATGAATTCTCTGTCAGAAGCTCTTTTTCATACAGCTGCATGCATACATCGTAACTACGCTTGTAGACCTGTTTGCAAGAGAAAAATTTGCTCAACATGATAAAATTATGGTCAATAATGGAAAATAAAAGAAAGAACAATTATAAATCCCCACCAAACTCATGCTTCTCAATACTTTTACTTGGAAGGGAAATGAATCAAGCTTAATAATTTCACAAGTACCAAACCCAACGAAAAGTAGTGCCTATGATGTAGTTTTCTAATTGAAGAAGTTAAAATTTGGATTGAAACAATCATTTTCTTAAAAATCTAGGCATTGTACCCAAGACACTGAGACATGATGGAATGTCAAACAACGACTTCACTAACTCAAAAAAGGTTGTAAAACAGAGATGGCTTATATTAATGACATTCTTTTTTTCAGCCACAATAATGCATAATTCACAAGCAGAAACCAGGGTCAAAATGAAGCACACAACAAGCTCTACATTGTCAAAGAGATCCATAAGGAACTTATAAAAGAACACACAGTTTGCATGAATTATACCTCTATCAAAGAAGCATCAGAGCTTTCGGCCTCCTTGGACATGGAGAACAACTTGATTTTCATCATATCATATATATACAGCAAATAGTGTGTATCTTCTCTGGCATATCTGTCATCACAAGTAAAATCAAACTGTTCAGATATGTCAACCCCCAAATGTAAATTACTTTTCAATGTTAGCAAATGCAGATATATTCATTACCAACAGGAGTATCTGCACTTTACTTTCAAAAGATCAATATCAGAAAAGCACAAGTCAGAAACAAAAAAAGAGAAGTAGAAAGCCAAACTTACCTGAGCATCTCATCAGGAAGAGGGCGTAATCTCCAATCTGCATTCTGACATCTGCAATGAGTAGACTGATCAACCTTAGCAGAAAGGAAGGATTGAATATAAAATTAAAACATAAAATATAGAGAAAATAAAAGAAACCAAACTATGGAGAGAATCAGAAGTAAATTTTGTAAAGGACCCACTCTTTGTTGGCAGTAACTCCACAAAAGTGCTGTAGAGGATACTCCAAACTATTTCTCTCCAATTTCAAGACCCTTAAGGCCTGACATAGAGACAAAGAGAAATCTCACCATCACTTCAATTGCATATCACAATAACAGCATAATAATATTAACAGTATACTAAGAACATATTAGGCAAGGAAAAATATAAAAGATCAGAAGCATAACAAATAACATCATCAAAAGGGAAAAACAAAAACAGACCACCTATTGCGTATACATGAAGGAACAAAAATAAGCAAAAGTATTATACTATATTCTGGCAAGGATGAAACAATAAATACATATACAGAGAGCGTGAGAAATTTTTTAAACTTTGTTATAGTCGAATGAGAATGAGAACAACCATGACATATCAAGAAAATCCAAACAATTAAAGAAAAGCATCAATATCTAACCATCCTTCGGTCCTTCCACCAAATGGAAAATGGGAGAAAATTTAAAAACTATTAATCGCATAATGTTAGCATTTAAGGAGTGACTTATAGACATGAACCAGTAGGGAAATGATTCTGTGAGTGAAAAAAGCTAGTCGGTATTAGAATTCAAAGAGTGAAAAGAACATGTTTTTCCTAGACCTCAAAAGCTTCTTCTGTCCAGACACTAATTACTCTCCTAATCAAATCAAATACTAAACAATAATTCGCGAAAAAAGAAATGAAAAAAATAATAAAAAACTAACCAGAGGATGAAGAAAGCGCTGATTATCCTCACTGCTCTGTAACCAAACATGCCGAAATGGCCGGTTCAAATTATTCACGGTCTCTTTATAGTGGGAATATGAAACGGCAGTTTTGCTCTCTCTTTCTTTTCCTTTAATTTCACATTCACCGAGTCACCCTGCACCTTCACCCGACTCACTGAGTCACCACCACCACCACTCACCACAGACACAGACTCTCCCTTCTTATTCTTCCCATAAACCATAAACCAACTGAAACCCATTTTTATTTCCCCCCTCTCCTTTCTTCTCACCGCTACTTTCTACTTTTCTCAAATTCATCAAACGACGCATTTTTCGAAAACGTCGTCGTTTTTAGTTTCAAAACGAAGAAATTTATTAATTTTAAAAATATATACAACTAATCATAGAAAATTCATAAACTTTAATTTGCCACAAAAAAATTTATTAAGTTAATTGGCGTTGGATGGATTCTAAATTTCAATGAAATATTAAATATTAAAATGTAAATTATTAGATAAAAGAAAAAATTTTAATAATTAAATACATCAAATGAATGATAAATAAAAAAATGTTTTTTATGAGTTTTCCATTGGAATGATTATTTACTTTTTAATTAAAAATATTATACGAAAATAAACACATTTAAGAATATATTAATTTAAATTTCAAATCAAACCATAATATTAAGAAGTCGAATACACTTTGAGGTTGAAATGTCCACAAAAATTGAAGTTTTTCTAATGTAAGTGAAAAATATAATGATAATAATAATAATAATTATTATTATTAAAAGATACTTCACACAAAGAGATATTCCCATGTGGAAAGGGCTATAGCAATTTCCTTGGTTGCCTTCTGCTTGGTGGTTATTGGACGGACTTTTAGGGTGCTTTGGCATGTCGCACTTGATTGGAGTTTGGACTGGTGCATTATGGTACTTAGTATCAACATCATACACATGAAAGCTGGAAAAAGGAAAAAAATTAAAGAAAGGCAGAAACATTAGAAAATGTCAAAGCAAAACATGATTTTTGATATGTGTTAGTGCTTAATTTTGACACCAACGACTCGTACGTGCAAAGTGCTAAACGGACTTAAAAATCATACGTGATAAGGAAACATAAAATGAAACACTGAATGAGAAGCGATATTTAAAATGGTTTCGGATGCTCAAAAGCGAATCTTACATCCATTGCTATTGTATTAATAGATGGGTAAAATCAGGTCGTGTACAGCGAGCTGAGTTATAACCTAGAGAGAATATAAAGAGAGAGAGATTGTATAAGCTATTTTTAGTCTAAGATTAGCCCATCCCGTAAATGAGAGGGGTGTCCTCTATTTATAGTGGGAGAGTTCAAGGTGATGATTACAAGTCTGCAAGTGAGTAGGTGCCGTGCAAATCCTTCTTTACGTCCCATTAGTTATCTACACGAGAAATATCCTCAAATTACGTAGGGCTTGGACAGGTGGATAATCCCTAATCACTCGCAAGTCTAGCACTCACTTACTGCACTAACAAGAACCATACCCCTTGTGTCACTACGCGACATGGCAGTGCCTGGACGGCACAAAACCTTCATGAACCCTAATTGGCTCTTGCCAATAAGAGTCCACGTCAGCCTTAACTTTTCAAGCATAACAGAAGTCCTCAGTTTTTAAGGTTTAAGGATTGAACCTTGAGAACTTCATAATTATGCTGCGACTTGACCTGTCCCGAATGACGCTTGGTCGAGCTGACCGAGTTGAAAGGAGGTCACAGCACATGTCTCTACAAGCAACCTGAGATGGCCTTCTTCCACAAAGTCGACGACCTGGATCAAACCCCACCTAATACCGTACCGATGTGCTTCAAATCTCATCCGCGGTCCGCGACTTGATAATACTTAGCATATTTTTACCAAAGACAAGGAATTGCATTGTCTCGTAATCGGTACGCAGCGAAGAGTGTTCTGCCCAAACAACCTCTTCAGATGTTATCCGTTGCACTTGATAGCTAATCCGTTTAATAAAATAATCTTTATTCTGACAGACGTGTCTAGTGCGTAATAAGTGTCAGCTATGCGTATTAAATGCAAGTCATACCGAAACGACATTCCCTTTCAAGGCATTAAATACATATGAGGGCGCATTTAATGTGGAGGAGGTCATCGAGTCGTCGCTTGGTTATTCCAATGGAGGGAAGCGTCGATTGACATTCTCAAAGCGTGGCGGTTACTTTTGTCGCAATCAATGGCGAGAAACGTATTCCGTCCAAGAGTCGCTCCTTCCCCTATGAAACCCCAGACTCGCCTTAAGCTTTGTCATAAAACTCATACTTTCAGAGAAAGAACAAAGCTCTCACGAGACCAGTCTCTCCATTTTCTAGTTGGTGCGCACCCTTTATTAACTGACACTCCAAACATAAAAGAGATAAGAGAAGAAATCGCAAATAACTTAGGTTTGAAATTTGAAGATAAGGAGAATGAGACTGAAAGAAGAAATAAGTTATTTGCACGATTGAAGGGGGAGAAGACAATCCTAATAATTTTAGATAATATATGGGACGATCTTGATTTGGAGGAACTAGGAATTCCTGAGGGATGTAAACTATTGTTGACGGCAAGGGATCAAAGCGTGTTGGACAGGATGGATTCAAAAGTCTTTCTCGATTGGCCTTTTGAAGGAAGATGAAGCTTGGAGCTTGTTCAGAAAGATGACAGGTAATAAAGTCTTTTCCTTGTACATTTTTATACAATTTTTAATACTGTGTTATAAATTTCACTCATTTCAGTGCTTCCCAGATCTCTAAAGAAAGTTTTATTCATTTAAATTTTGTAACACATAAATATAATAATTGCTGTTTTAGTTTACTTGATTGGATCGATTTTTTTTTTTTTTTTTAAGTAATAATAACATGAAAAATAGTTCAATTTCACCGATATACTCGTTAACTATAACTTTGATATATAAATATGTATACCAAAAGTTTTATTTGAATAACATGAAAAAAGGTTCAAATTTCACCCGTTTACTCCTTAAACAAGACCATCTTAAGCCTTAAACACTTCGTAAGCAGCAAATGGTAGCCACAGGCACTTCTATTCCACCACTTAAACTTTGTATCATCACTATTTCAATTGTACAAATATCAAATGAATGATCATTAAAAAACTTTGTATCATCACTATTTCAATTGTACAAATATCAAATGAATGATCATTAAAGAGACAGTCACAAGATGATCAAAAGCGCTGGTGAATATTGTGTCAGTAATTTTATACAAGAAAAACTGGAAAGAGAAATATCATTTGAAAAAAGATACTTTGAAATTAATCGATATTT